TGTGTGACGCTGTGTTGCATTTCCTGTTGGTGTGGTATCACTGCACTCTTACCATAAGGGAAAGCATTCTAGTGGTCAACGGGTCCCGAATCAAGGGCTGGTGGCGGACACTTCACTTTCTGACCACAGTTTTGGCCGGCGTTATGGTTGTCTGGTATGTCTTATATTTGTATTCATCATTTAAGCATTCATTTCATATAAAACTCATCTATAAATTATAGTTTATAGACTATAATATCGGCAATAGTGAGCTCTTGTGAAACTGTTTTATTTGTTTTAAGGCATGGTTTGTGTATTTTGTCTGTATATTTAGCAACAATTTTTACGATAATTTAAAATATTTCAAAGTTAGCAAAAGATTGCAATAATTATATTGATTTTTTGTGCATAAAAATCGCACGCATTCTTGAAATGTTTTGAATTAAACCCAAAATACATTACATTTACAGAGCGCTAGTATTTATCATTTGTTACTTTCACTTTAATTCTGAATTTAAAATTTTGTTCCCAAATTTTTTGCATAATGAATATATTATTCATTTATTGGGACCACTATTTACTATTGCGATACACTATTTGCTTAATTTGATGAACTCGGGTATTGAGCAAATATTAAAATTAAGTGCAGTGTTCTTACAGTTCATTAATAAATAAAATTTAATTGTTTTACACCAAAAAAATATCAATTAAATTAAGAAAAATAGACAACATATTTGTCATTCATTGAATTGTAGGCCATTTGAGAATATTTGAGTTAAATTGTATGCACTCTTGAGAACACATTTCTATATTATCTTTTTTTTCTATCACCAGTTTTTGTCAGACTATTTGATAGTATAGTACTCAACGAATAGTTTGAGTTTTGTACTTAAGGATCAGTATTTAGCACTTTTTATTTCAATATTCCTAATAGAAGTTCATTTATAGTTAAATTAAAATTTATTTTTGTTGATTAACACAAATTGAATGATTACATGAATTGCGACAAAATTGAAGACATGTTTACGCTTTGTTTTAAAGGTTATTAGTTTTGGATTAGAGTTTGTATTTATAATGGGATTAATTAGGATTACAATTAACGGGCGGTGAATTGTTTGCCAATAAATGTGATAATTGGTAAAACTGAGCCAATAGTGTAATAATGTATGATTTGTTTGACACAATAGGCCCGACGGCTCGAGTTATACGAAATTCCGGATACAATTCCTGTCTTACATCTGTTACTCGAGTTTTCTTCAATTCCTGCAATACTACTATCAATACGGATGTCTGTATCGGTTGCGAGCGTTGGGCGAGCGCTACGATATGGACATTACGATACAGGGCTTCCACTCGTGGATGTGGAGAGGACTCGGATTTCTGCTACCATTCCTGTACTTCGGATACGTATTCCAGTTCTACAACGCGTATACGCTGTACAACATGTATACGCAAGACGTGTCATGTGTTGAATGGCAGGTGCCGGCTGTCGCCGCCCTGTATTTTGCCATCTTTTTAGGCAACACTTTAACCACATCTCTGGTGATCCAACAGAAGCTGACGGGAAAGTTAGTCGTCAAACCAAAAATGAAATGAAACGCTTTATAGGCAACAAAAAACAACAATTATTTTGTTTGAATGGAAAAAATCTCTGTTTAATTGTTTTAGCGTTTCTTTTGTTTGTTTTTTAAAATTAAATGAGAAAATGATTGAATTTTATATACGAATACAAACTACGGTTAATATACTTTATATGAACTCAAATTAAGACTCAAAATAGATTTATAATTATAAAACTGTTGTCCAATTGTTTTTTATTTACTGTACTCTCAACTGTTGGGGCAATACTTTGTTTTCGTTATTCATACAAATAAACGACTTATATTTGAATACAAANATGTTATTGTAATACATATATAACAGTGATATATAATTTCGTATTTTACTTAATATTACAATAAATTACAAAATCTATAAATAAAACTCGTTTAAATATTTTAAATATTAATAGTTATAAGTTAATTGTTAACAAACAAATAAAATCTAAAACCAATGGCACATCTTATGAATGATCGATGAGATATCTATGGTCTGAATCTACTAAAGAGTTGTTGGCCTCCAAGTCGTTGGGATAGCCGGTGATTGTGACGACACTCGCAGTCGGAGGTAACGTATGGATACTCGTGTCCGATGAGGCACGAGATCTCTGGCCTGAGAACAAGAGAACATCAATCAGATTCAATACATTTTCAAAATACTTAAATCTTTATCAATAAGTCATTGTTTTATATAATAAATAGAAGTTAAAATGAAATGAATTTCATGTGTATATAAATGTTTAATTCATGGGAAGAATAGTTAATATTCTGTTGTTTAAAGTGACAAAAACTATACATTTATTTATGGAGTATTTGTTGTGTAATAAAGGCAGTGGAAAATTCTTGTACCAACATTAATAGCACACGTCCTTTATGTTACATTTATGAGTCCCAATACCATAGCAACAACACAATGATACACAATATGTATGATAAAACATATGATAAACAATGCTTTATCTGTTGATAAAATTAAGTCATTATTTTAGTCCTTTTTATGTTCAAAAAGTCCATTAAATGGTGTGATATTTGTGTATTTAAAGGTATTAAATGCTAGTCAATGCATATAAATGCTATAATTATGTCAATTCATGTTAATTGAAACCCAAATTTGAAAATAAATGATGTAAAATAACTAGTCTACTACCCGTCGTGTAATAATTGTAAAGTTTAATTAATAACTAATTAATTGTGATAAATTGTGAATAATTAAATCAAAATGAGTGATAAATTTAACGAAACAATAGGACCTGGAAACCCCATATCAAAACATATGAAAAAATGTGTTATTAAAGAGTATAATAAAGTAATATCTGAAAATCGATTTAAATATAAAAAAGACATTATTAAATATTTAAGGGATTTATTTTTGATATGTGAATCCAGTGTTAAAATAATAATTAATACTGATATTAATTGTATTGTTTCGCCCAAAAAAACACATAATAAACCTTTAAAATATGATTTTATTGATACCGATTATGCAATAATTGATGACATTATCTGTGATTATAATGACGATAACATAAGTCCATATATAACCGACGTTTTTAATAAAGTGGATAATGACCCCCTTTGTGAACTAAACTTTAAAGGGTGCAAAATTGACACTTTTCGTGCACTTATGAAACGTATGGGATATCGCTATACAAAAACAGACCAATTAATAAGACAACAATTAGTTGAAACGCCAAGAGTTCAAAAATTATTAAATAATTATTTAATTAATAAACAAAAATTACAACATTTGTCCCCCCATTCAGAGACGATATTTCTGGATGAAAGTGCATATCATACTAATGACATGAACCCAAAAGTTTTGACCCCTATTGATCCCAATAAACAATTAAAAATAGGCAAAACTATTGGTCCCGGAATACGGTATAACATTATTAACGCTATATGTATGGATGGGTTTGTGCCTAATTGTGAATTGATTGTGAAAAACACTACAATAACAGCTGAAGTATTTGAAAATTGGGCTAAAAATCAATTAATTCCCAGTTTGAATGAACACTACCCCAATGCGATCGTTATTTATGACAACGCAACGGTACACTCGAGACGGTACAATAAAACCCCCACACAAGGTGCAACAATTGATGTGATAATAAATTGGTTAAAATTTAATAAAATTGTGTATAATATTAATTATAAAAACAGAAACGAATTATTATTAACTGTTTTACAAAACAAAAAACCTATTCAATACTATTTTGACAATATGCTAAAAGAGCATGGTCACTATGGCCTGCGATTGGCCCCCTATTGTTGTGAATTTAACCCTATTGAACCGGTATGGGGTATAAGCAAACAATGGGTTAGGAAGCACTCATTTGGCACAAAAGCATCTAATTATAAAACTTTAATCGAAACTTCATTTAAATTGATTACTGGAGATACTATTAGAAGTGTTGTACGAAATGTTGAATCTCCAGCTTTACAAAAATTTAATATTATAAATATACCCGTTAATGATCACCATAATTATTCTCTTAATTTTATTCCCAATGATTTAGAAATTATATAATTTATTTTAATTATCTAAATATTTGTAATATGTAAATATGTTTTACTGTATCTGAAATCTCTATACTATTATAATAAAAGGTACTAAACATACGGTTTTGACACATATTACGTTTAAATATATTTAAATTACGTGAAAGGCCCATAAAGTCAGCCGTATATTCGTTTCCCTATAATGTGTGTTATACAAATACTCGACTACCACACTAGCACGGGAATCTACACACATTTAGTACAGTTCAGTACTACTGACCATAATAACACACAATTCGCCCATTACCAAACAACACACTACACAGCACATTAGTATGGGTGAGTGTCTGATTTGCACTTCTCTTTATCCGCCACAATGAAGAGCGAGGTGTAGAGGAAGGCGAACCCACCCAACACTATCACGAATGGCGTCACATACAGCGCGTATTGAAGGCCCGAGAACTTAGCGGCCGCTGTATTCACACCGCCGTTAAGACTGTCTGATATCTAACAAAAACAATAAGCAAATCATTTTTATAATCAATTTACAAATTTTCTCTCCAAATGGACTCACAATTCCGATCACAAAAGGACTGCTGGCGTCGCCAAACAGATGAGACATTAATATTTGCAAAGACTGGGCGAAAGAGCGTCTATTCGGTGTTATAACGTATAGTAGAATATCGGCCACAACTGACCAATTGGTCGACAATAATGTTATGGCAATAAATACAAAAAACCACGAAAATGCGGGCGATTTGGCGGCCAATACAAGGGTTAGGAAACAGAAGGGAACGGATGTGAGGACACCGACAGCGCAGACCAATGGGTCGGCGCGAGGATTACGCTGTCTGTAGTATTGCGAACCAGACATTCCCATAAATACACCGATTATTCCTCCAACACATGCGATGATACCAAATATGAGTCCAATCCTTAAGAATATCAAATAATTAGTAAAAATATCAATAAAAACCAAATAAATAAAAACAAACCAGTCGTCAGTCTTAGGATTATTAGAGACATCGTAAGCGTACTTCATATACGTGGGCGCCCACCACGAGAGCGCCCCCACAGCGAAACAAACACACGTAAAACCAATAGTTGTCCAGATATACGTCCGAACGGTCAGCAAATATCTGATATCCTCCATAACGGCTGTCTTTTCGCGCGGCTCTTCGGTCATGCCGTCAGACTCTCCTCTCTGGGGTTCGCGGACTAAGAAGTAGATCAAAGCCGTGCAGACAATGCCCAGCCCTGGCGTCACTCGGAGGGCGTTCTTCCAGTTGGAGGTATACTCGGCGACGGCTGAGCCCACGATATATCCCATACCAGAGCCCACAGGAATGGCGAAGTAGAAGACGCCGAGCATTCGCGAGCGGATCCCCGGCGGGAACAGATCGGCGATAATAGTGGGCGCTATTGTGGAATAGCTGGCCTCTCCCACACCCACCAGCGCTCGCATCACGAAGAATAGGATCGGATACTCTTTGGGCACAAATGAGCCAAAAAATGTGGTCAAACTCCAGAAGACTATACCGAATATCATAATGAGTTTGCGGTTATATCTGTCGCCCAAATACCCAAATACGGGCGCAAATATCATATAACAGGCGATGAATGCGGTCTGAAGGAGACCCGATTGGCTGTGATTGAGGCCATAGTAGTGCTCGATCTTCGTGAGCACACCAGCGATGGTAAACCTGTCCATATAATTGAGTAGATTTATCAGGAATAGGATTAACACCGATATGTATGACTCCATTGCCATCGTGTCGACGACTAAGGATCAGCTCTGGGTATAAGTGATAAAGTGTGACAATAAGTGTTGTTAACAGTAACGGTGACCAACGATGGCATGCGTTGGATGTGTTGAGTGATGTGACCACTGAAGAGGTGTTTGCGAAGAGAGTGACAACAATGGACTCAAAGTGTGATTACAATCGATGAGTGAATGCTTTGACGAATTCAACCATTCATTCAATACAAGCATTCAATGAGTGACTGATTTGACGGACACTTCAGTTACAGTCAAACATAGATGTGATTCACAGACAATCAAAATGTAAACAAATGACAACAAATTCAACACATAATATACGTCCAAATGTTTGACAACTAGTTTTTGAATACTTTTTAAAACAACACTTTTATATTAATTTAGTTTCAGTTGACTTTATAATTATAATTAATTTTTAAATGTATTAACCGTTCATTTAATTATATTGTTAGTCATGTTTTTAGGCATTAATTAATTTTATTATTTTAACGTCAATTGCAGTCAACATTTCAATACAAAACTATATAAATATTTTATATGTTTTGTTAAGATATTTGATACAAATCCAAATTACGGTAAAATTATTACAATTATTTATTTATTTAATAAATATTAAGCTTAAAATATATAAACTTTTTGATAATATAAAATCAATAGGAATCTCAATACACAATATACGGTAATAATAATAATCAATATTATTTATGCATTTCATTAGAGAAATAATAATTATAGACAATTAGTTTGCAGTGACGTAACCGTGAAATGCAAATAACATATTATCTCAAATCAATGAGCGATACATCGATGGTCTCATTGAAAAGTATGTGAGACGAGCGCTCATATATGGGTGGGTTCTCGGGATGCAAGTGATGGCCGCTTAGCTTACAACTGGTGATGAGTTGCATGCCGTGAGGTTCGGTCAGTGAGTAGACGCCCACCTCTTGAAACTTCGGCGCGCATACGATGGCAATGGATTCGGACAATAACTGCTGATACGGCCAATGGGTGTGCAGATCGATGGACGACATGAAGGCGTTCTGTGTGGGGTGCGTATGGATCCAACCGACGACCATAAAGCGATGCGTGTCCTGAATCGGAATGATCTCCTCCTCATTGACCATCTGACACGAGTCGGCGGTTCCCGACTGTTTGGTCACTATTACGTGTGTTATCGTAAACACATTGTTGGCCAACTGTGCGCCCAGAATAGCACACGTCTCCACATTTCTATTGGTATTGCTTTGCGCCGACACTAAAAACTTTTGTATCAATCGTTGAGGGATTACCACTCGAGTGAACGAATCCATCGCGAAGTCATTGTAACTGAAAGCCGAAGGTTTAGTCGTCCGATCGATAGCTGGAGTGACAGCCGTCGCAGTGCTGTCACTCGGATAGTGAGTCCCGAAACTAATGTCGACAGATGTGGTCGACAGAGGCTGTGGTAACACAACATTTGGCGTCGCGATTGTCGGCTCTTTGATTTCCTTCTTCTCTTTGATCTGTTTGTCTAACTTTAGCTGCAATTCTATTAACTGCTTCTCCTTCTCCTCTTCTTGCCGTCGCTGAAACTGTTGTCTCTGTTCTTCACTTCTCTTCGCCTCTTCTAATTGTCTTCTCTTCTGTAACGCAAAAAACATAATATCATTAAAATTACAGTTTGTTTTGTGGACTAAAATACGGACCTTTTGTTGTAGATAATCGTCAAATTCCTTCTGGTATTTGACCATCAATTTACTCTTCAACTCCTCTGCGATCGGAAACACTTGTTTGCAGTTGTTTTTGGTTAACGCCTTCTCCTGTGGTTCGCATGTCTTATACTCCGAGTGCTGAGGAATCTTCTCCACAAACAGACTGTTTGGACACACAGTTAGAGACAAAGTTAGGCACCAGTTATGAGTGACACAGGAGTGGCAGCGATGGTGACCGTCGAGTACTCACGTAATGTACTTCATGTAGAGTATGAACGCCTTCTCGAGCGTCTGTTCCTCGCGATAGATGTGAGCCATTCTAATGAGTTCTTTGCCGGACCTCCAGTACCTCTTGATGGGCACCGAGTTCTCCATCCCAACCGCACCCGCCGTCTGAACCAACCGTCGGATCCGTTCCGACGGCTCCAACACTTCGGCTACGGAGACATCGCTGCCGTTGAGGCCGTCATCGGTGGTGCGGTAGTCGGCGCTCATCACTGGCATCACTTCTCACAGACACTGGCCGTATGTAAGCGTGTGATTGTCACCAAAGACTGATCCAAACGTCAGTTTAAATGCAGATTAAAAGCATTTTCTCATTAATTGATTGAATGACAAAACGAGTGATCAATTTGTTTACTAATAAAGTCCTAATTATTCATAAATAACGTAACGCCGGGTGTGAGAGAGGGGGCAGTGTTTTGGGGAAATTGGGTTTCGATTCAAAGGGCTTTAAAAAAGGGTCCAAAATATGGATAAAATAGTTGACGTGTTTTATAAATGACTTCATGTTATATGTATTGCATTGACTGATGCAATGATAACTAAAGTTTTACAAAACATTTCTAACCGCTTATAATAAGAGTATTAAAGACTAATTGAATGCATATTTTATTGTACTTTTGAATCAATTTCGAAGTTATATGTATTGCATTGACTGATGCAATGATAACTAAAGTTTTACAAAACATTTCTAACCGCTTATAATAAGAGTATTAAAGACTAATTGAATGCATATTTTATTGTACTTTTGAATCAATTTCGATCATATCTTGTCTGTTAGTAATGGCTGTCAATAACTGTTTCATTCATACAATAAACCACACAATTAGTCATCATTTTAATTACGTTTACAACACTTTCATTAATCACACGTTTAAAAAGATTAGTAAAGGTGTGATAAATATGTGATAATAAATGGCTCCAGGTCCAAATGCACTGTCACCTATGTCAATTAATAACACTTTTAATAACTATAGCAAAATATAATTAAAACTGTTTTACAGTACAAATGATTCATTTGAAGTGAATCATGGCATTACCATGGTAAAAATTATTTTCTATCCCCTCTATCCATTAAATCCTGTATAAAATGTTGTAAATTGGAGCGAATTAAAAAATAATTATTAAAAATCAGTATCAAATAAATTTACAAATGTGCAAGGTTATTAAAAAATATTTATAATTAAAAAAGGGAAAAAAAAGTTTTAAAAAAGTACAAAAAGTAGTCTCGCAGTCGGTAGGATTCGAACCTACGCGGGAAAATCCCAACTGATTTCTAGTCAGTCGCCTTAACCACTCGGCCACGACTGCTGTGTTAGGTATACACTCACTTTAATACACATGTCTAATGTATAGCCATAGCCTGTGTTCCCAAAAGTTAGGCATTTATTAATTACTTTACTTGTAATTTAATTTTATATTCAATTAAAATTATTTAATTTATTAATTCATATAATAATAGTATTCATGAAAAGAGTATAAAATATGAGTAAATTTGGCGCAAAATATGTAATTGAATGCAATGTTGAGACCAAACCGAAAGTATACTGTATTTCAAAAACTGCAAAAACATGTGATTTTTGTGTACATTTCATAATGTTTTTCAATGCATTTGTCGTTTAAAACGTCTCTTTAAATTGAAATACAGTTTTGTTTGACAAACCATTTGATGACAAATGCAATACAATTAACGCTTTAATTAACACTAATTGTTAGACAAGTGTTGAAAGCGATGTTTGGTTTAAGCGATGAATCGGTTTCTGTGATAAAAGTGAGCGCAAAGTCACGACTCGTGTTACTATCGCTACAACTGGTGGCCAACGGTCTGATCCCGGATCACGAGAGCGCCGATGCCTTCGTCCACCGATTGGAGGACAAACTGCCGACTACTGGAACCGATCGTCTCATTTATCACGTGTTTAGTGGACTCAATCGCTGGGATTCCCAATACTATACGACCATCGCCTACAATGGCTACGATCGCGAAGAGTTTCTCGCATTCTTCCCGCTGTTCCCACTTTTGGTCAGACAATTGGCAACCATTTTGTGGTCAATACAACACTTGTCGACCGATCGGACGTTTGTCTCGTATTATAGTTTGATTTTATTGAGTAGTTTTGCGCTCAACTTTGGCCTCTTTATACTGACGGCACTTGTGTTGTATAAACTGACGGCCAAACTGTTTGCCGACCGCTCGATGGCCGCCAATGTTGTCCATTGGTTCTCATATAACCCGTCGTCCGTATTCTTCTCGTCCTCTTATTCGGAGTCATTGTTCGCATTCCTCACGTTTTCCGGCATTTATTTAACACATCTGTCGGACAAATCACATCACCTGATGATGGCTTCCGCTCTCTTTGGTCTGAGTTCGGCCACTCGTTCTAATGGTATGCGTTATCAATGTTATGACAATTGATTTGTTACTTAATCCATATCTTTGCAGGCATTATATCGATTGGATTTGTTTTATACAAACAATTAAATCGTATACTAAATGAATGTTTCGCTGAAAACGGACGGTTCGTACTGAAGAAGAATTGGTGCCAAAGATTAGCCATCAATCTATTGCTGAGCATCTCTTTAGTGATTATATGTTTGTTGCCATTCATAAGCTATCAGTTGTATGCATACCAACTGTATTGTCGTGACTCCGATCACCCGAAGGTGTGGTGCGGACACAGTATTCCTCTTTCATACTCTTACGTTCAAAGCCAGTACTGGAACGTAGGCTTTCTTCAGTACTATCACTTGAGACAGATTCCCAACTTTTTGCTCGCGTTTCCCATTATTGTGTTGAATCTGAAGACATGCGTCACCTATTTGTTACTCAATAGTCACCGAATCGTATCGATTGTCTGCCGACGACCGCAACAGCGGCACAAGAAATGCGATTCAGTATTGAAAAACGATATGTGTTTTGTGCATATCATTCACACACTATGTTTGACAATGTTTTGCGTACTCTTCGTCCACATTCAAGTGACCACAAGAATGTTGATGTCGTGCACACCACTAGTCTATTGGGCCGTCGAGTCCGTCGAAGTCAAGCGCCGTAAACGAGTCAACGATTTGATACATCTTTGGTTTTACGGATATTTTATTATCGGAACAATACTTCACTCAAACTTTTTGCCATTCACTTAAAGTCACTGCCATTTAATTATTAATTTTACAAAATAGATTTTATTTATTATTAATTTTGGAAACATTTAAATACAATTTGAAATTTTAATACAAATTCAAGACATTTTAAACAAGAAATATGTTAAGGTTTTTGTGGATCAGTTTGCGATTGTTTTTTGATTGTAGTGTTTGCGGCAGTGTTTGCGGTATTTTCAGTGGTTGTAGTGTTTGGTGGAAATGGAGCCTCAGGTTTGATCATTGGTTTGACATCTTTAAGCCACGGATGCATATAGAGTCCGGTTGTATTGATACGAGCGCTCTCCTCGGGTTCAAGCATTTTACTGGTTATATCTTTGGCCGCATCGCTCACCGCTTTCTTATAGCTATAGTTACGTTTCAATTGGTTTTCAAGCATTAGTTTCTCGTCCTTATCATCAAAAGGCAATGTATTCTCAAACAGCATAAAGAGGACGACACCCGACGCCCACACGTCATACTTGAGCGGAGCGTAAGGTTTTA